CCAAGAAAAACAACAAAATATCAGGAAAAGTATGTTTTATTATTGTTGCGAACCTCTTTCCCTGGAGCCATCTTTTAAAATTAGGAAATAAAAAGTAGTCACTGGGTGCTAAATCTGGCAAATAAGCTGGCTGGGGAAGTATTTCCCATTCTAACTCATCAAGTTTTGCCATTGCTTTTAATGACGTGTGTCATGATGGTACAAAATTTTTTTCTGAATCTCATCCCGTATACAATTTGATAAGGTGGCATAATACTCTCCAGTGATCGTCTTTCCTTTTTCTAAGAAATCAATAAATATTATGCCACATGCGTCCCAAAAGACACTTGCCATAACCTTTCCAGCCGATTGCTGTGTTTTCGGTCGCTTTGGTCGACTTTCCCCAGGTTTTAACTACTGTGCTGATTGTTGCCTCGACTCGGGTGTGTAGTAATGGATCCATGTTTCATCCATCGTAATAAAACGACGCAAAAATTCAGATGGATTGCAATTAAACATGTCATAACACTGTTGTGAAGTCGTTACTCAATTGCGTTTTTGGTCAACAGTCACACGCGCGGCACCCATCTAGCAGCAAGATTTTTCATTTATAAATGTTTGTTTAAAATATTAAAAACACGTTTATAAGAAATGTTTACACAGTTAGCAATTTCACGAACTTTGATTTTACGATTTTCTATCACAATATCATGAATTTTTTCGATCATTTCTTCAGTTGTGACCTCTTTTGGCCTTCCTGAACGTTGCTTGAATGGCCACGTTTGAATTCATTATACCAATCATAAACAGTTGTTTTCGATGGAGCAGAGGAACCCAAAGTTTTATTGAAGTCATTTATTATTTCTTGAGGTTTTAAGCCTTTCAAATATTGATATTTTATGACTGCTCGAATTTCAGTTTTTTCCATATCAGCAAAAAAATCGAGATTATTTTACTTCACTTGCTATAAACACACAACTAGATAATAAACTGACTTAAAATTTATATAGTGATCGTATACAGGTCTGAACTTGCCGTACATATAAATTTTATCTTTATAGCGATGATTCATACATCTTATTCCGGGAACTTATAAATCCATGTGTGTGTGTATATATATATATATATATATATATATATATATATATATATATATATATATATATATATATATATATATATATATATATATATATATATATATATATATATATATATATATATATATATATATATATATATATATATACATACATACATACATACAGCGTGTAAAATAACGGCTGCTTAATGGTCAATGGCCGCCCAAAATGAGTAAAATTGCTATTTTGACCTCCCAAAATGAATTCTTCCCGGTCATGGTTGACCGGTTAGAAAATAATCAGAGTTTTGAAAAACAAGATTTGAAAAATAATCAGATTATTATTTGGAAAAGCATGTACTAAATTATCATATAATCATTAAAATTTTGAAAAAGTTAATTAGTTTATCAAACTTCCTTTAAGAAGTAAAATGAAAATCTGCGCGCTTAATTTTAAACTATTAACATTGGCGTGAAATTTTAGGAATACTAATTCGTTAATTATTAAATATTAAGTAATTTTTGTATTTATAAAGTTCAGTCATGAAGAACTATTACAAAGATTAAAATGAAAACAAAGAAAATAATTAAAATGTTTACCGTCCAAAAAAAACAGTAGACCGTCAATTCCACAGGTCAGCTGGTCAAATTGACCACTCGCCGTCAATTCTTCAATTTCTTATTTTACACGCTGTATATATATATATATATATATATATATATGTATATATATATATATGTATATATATATATATATATATATATATATATATATATATATATATATATATATATATATGTATATATATATATATATATATATATATATATATATATATATGTATATATATATATATCAGGTTTTCACAGGAAGGCGTGCAAAAACATGTTTTTATATGACCACGCAAATCACATTTTGCTATGACGATTTGACTGCGGCTAATTCACCAAACATTTTAAAAACATGCTAAATGAAAAATATTTTAAAAAAGTGAAATTAATTACGTCAAAACTTCTTAACAAATGTTTTCATATTAGCAAAAACGCTTTTAAATAAAGTAACAATTTACTGATAATGGTTTTTTTAAATATAATTGACAGTTGTATATACTTTTTTAATTTATATTATATAAATTGTTTAAGTGTGCATTGCTATAATAAACAATATTAAAAAATTGTTTTGTTTTTATAAACGATAACATTCTACGACTACATAAGTCTCTTTAACGAATTTTAATATAAGAATAATTTAAGTTAATACATTTAAAAAGATAAACAAAATGTTGTTGAAAAAAAAAAATGTTTTAGAAAGCCATTACAATTAAATAAGTTTGATCTTAAATGCTTTTATATTATCGAAACGCTTTTCAATGAAGTAACAAAACACTTCTGATTAACTTTAAAAATAAGTAATAATAAACTATTGTTTTTTTTTATTTATATAATTATGTATTTTTTATGAG